CATCAAAGTCACCCCTGCGAGAAAGCGCTGCATCTGATAATGGAGACCTCGGGAACCCAGAGAACTTGGGTCTTGCACCTTGCTACCCCTGATCTGCCAGCATTGCTTTTCCTGTCGAGACAATTACAACCGCTGCAGCCACAGCCATCACCACTACCGTCCCTCACCCCTGCCCGCACCCTGAGAGCCACCATGTTGCTGCTGCTCTTCGCTCTAGTCAGAATATCAGCGACGACGGAGTTGCTGCCATTACCGGGGACAAGTGCTACATAATGCAGGGAGGAGAGAAGAGCGAGGAGGGAGCGGAGCGGAGGGGAACGGAGCGAGGGTCAAACATCGCATTCCACACGTCAGCCTCAAACTATGGCTGCTTTCAGGGCGGCTGCAGCGCATTCGTTTACATCACCTGTTTCAAATGCAGATCTATACTTAAGAGCAGCGCGGACGAAAGCTAGAGGTCTACGTATTCGGAAGATTTGCAACAAGAGTTACTTCCATTTTCTTTTCCAATATCCCTTTATAAACCCCATACAGCGCCAATATACTATATAGTAGTTTCCTTTTCTTGTCCATGATCCCTCTATACCCCTGACCGTCCTTTACGGGCTCTGCAAGCGTAATAGCTTGCCCTGATACTGAAGCGCATCCCTCGCGTCGCCCCGCTTTGTAACTGACCCGAAAAACATGCATGACTCAGGAATATTGAATGAACAACTTGTAGGGAAGCCTCTTGTCTATGAACGCTATCACTTTCTCAGCAGGAAAGCACAGATTACAAGTTCCAGCTTGGTTTTTAGAAAATATGGACGCTTGTTATCACCTTCTCATTATTCAGACCCCTGTTTCCAAGTAGGCTTTGTAGAACATGTCTAACATTCGTTTTTCAAGAATGATACCAGAGAAAAGTAGGAAATTCGGGAAATTCTAGATTCCGGCTGGATTGGATTCCTGTATTTACATGCCTGAGCAGGAAGCCTTGAAGGGCAGGAAAAAGTATCTCGCACACGCTCCTTTATTGCTTGGGAAATCCTAATCACGTGTGATTCCGCAAAATCTTGGGTAGTCAAGACTAGAGTGATTCGAAAAGAGCGAGACTTGCGGCCCAGGGGAATAACAAAAAGGGCACGGAATAGGGCAAACTTTTGCCCCGCACGGAAAATCAATAAGGCAGAAACGGAATAGTGGCACGCTTTGAACTGGAAGCCCAAGAGTCCTGCCCTCGAATTTTTCCAGGACCCGCCCAAACAACTCTTCCCAAACCTGACTGGGGTGTACCCCTTGCTACTTAGAATCGAAAGTTGTTAAGGGGGGTTTATATCTAGAACCCCCCCCCTTGCGACCGTTACTCCTTTTGACCACCCCGTACAATTCAGTAGTAATAGTCTCCTAGCAGGTCACCTTAAGAGGTCGTGCCTTGTCAGCCAGCGACGAACCGTCAAAAGGCATGACCAGCTTGACAACATGTGTTGCAACAAACCCAAGGGGGCCCCATGAGTTAAGAGGCGGGCCTTCAGGTTTGGGGGGGGGGGCATAACGGCACCTCCCCACCATTTTCTGATTTTCTGAAAGTCTCCCGAAAGAACCTGATACCCAAAGCGTTTCAAGCGGGGCATGGCCAGACACAAGTCTGCTAGTATATTGGGGGGTATATAGGGGTTATATAGGGATAATGGAAAAGAAAATGGATACTACTATAATGGGTTATGTACAGTATAGGGTGGAAATATTAATGCAGTCCAAAAACTTCCCCGCAGCCCAGGAACAATTTTTTCAAAGCAAAGGCATCCACAAGCGGGTCCAGAAATAGAATTGCTTCCCCTGGTAATGAAATGCATCCCTCTCATCTCCCATCATCTCCCAGAGTGCTCATGAATGATCACTGGTCCGACAAAAGATGTAGCAAGGAGCATGTTAGTGGAAGGACGTATACAGTGGCCTCTTCAATTTCTTTGAAGGCCGTCGTTGTGTCATCCATAATCGAGGAGATCCCTTAACCCAGTAAGACTTTCTGAGCTATTTCTATCGAGACGATGGCAACAGAACAAAACTAGCTTGTGCTAACATTCTAGGGCACAAAGCCATAAGAATCTATTCAAGAACAGAACATCCAGGAACCTCTATACTCTTTCACGCTCTGTTAACTGATTGTTGCCCTATAGCTTCCAATGACCAATCAAGAATAACGAGAACTCGAGAAACCCATGCTGCTTCTTGGAAAGCTAGGAAATCGCAGTAATGCATGGTTCTGCGGAATGACCCCTTGCTGCCTTGTGGCACCCCCTAATTCAGCGCTCATACCCGCCCACTCAATCACTTTCGAAATAATCTCGCCCCTTTATATGCGATTCCAGAATTCTGGGAGAAAAAAGGGTGGGGCGCCTAAAGTGGGCAGGTTGCAAGATCAAGATGGGGGGGGCCTCAAGGCCAGAGACAACCAGTTTCGGAGATGCTGTCGCTCATAGGTCCCACTATCAAGCATTTCAGATAGGGCCCACCTCCCCGGTTGAGGTTCAGGGTTTTAGGGTTCAGGGTTTTAGGGTTCAGGGTTTTAGGGTTCAGGGTTTTAGGGTTTAGGGTTTTTAGGGTTGTAGGGTTTAGGGCTACCTCCCGCGCACGAACCCTTAATCTCCAAAACATCAGACCAGGTGGTGCCTGAAGTTGTCCATGGTCCAGGGGAGTATACTTGGTATACAAAGAACTCTTTCAAGCTCCCAGGAGCTAGCTTTCACCAACTATTCGAGACTGCAGATGCTAGACACACGCACACAAGGAACAAATCAATGGAATTGCAAGGACGTTCAGGGCATTTGCTAACATCGTGTTCCGAACAGTTCTCACAACAACTGGGATTTACTGCATTCCCATCCAATTCAAAAGACTCATTCGGAGTGCCGATGTTTCATCAAAAAACTACTGATGCTTCGAATGCCCTAAGAAAATGGCCATTGCTGCCCAATTCACGACAAGCGTGCTGTCGGGCGGCCGATGGCGCTGCTCCGGCTCCGGCTGCTGCTCTCGCTACTGCCACCCTACCAGGCCACTACTGTTGATGTACCAAACTGGCCAATCGCCCGAATAAGCAATGATATTTCCTAGAGTTCGGGTGGACAAGGTCACCCAAGGTTTTGTCAATCAACTGTATCACCCTGACTATGACGACCACCACGACGATGACGACAGTGGCTGCAAGACTCAAGAGGATGACCAGAGCGGTGACGAAGGACGAAGAAGACCACTGAGGATGCCGACTACAACCGTTTGTCATCCTGCTTCTGCGCTACTTTTGTGTGCATGCAGTCGTTCTTGCAGCGGCATATCATAAGTTGCTCACTGCAAGCATTTCGTCTAGGAGAGCACAAAGGCGGTGCACAGTTCAAGCCTTCAACACCTAAATCCATAAAGCTAAACCTCCTAAATACTAGATGCCGCTGGACCCCCTACAGCGCTAAACTTTGCAAAGCCGGTACAACGCTTGCAACCAGACATGTGACAAGTCCCCACTCAAAGGCTGGGTAGACTTGGAGGGTAATTGGTAGGAACTGGTGTTTGCTGCCTAGCCGCCTAGCCTCTACACCATACAGCCAAACCCACAAGCCCTAACCCTCAACTTCAAACCCCAAAACCCCCTCCAACTTCTAAACTTTCTAAACCGGAAGCTCCTACCCCAAAACTGACAGCCCTAAAAAACCAACCCCTTCAAAGCCCAACCCCTTAAAACCCCAACCCTTAAAACCCCTAGCACCTAAAACAAGCAACCCTTTAAGCCCCCAACCTCCCACACCCCAACCCCCAACAGTAGGTTCCATTCCATTGTCAATTATCCCAAGATAACCCCTCTATAATCCTACATGAGCTACGGACTGAATTTAGGTTGGGGGGGACCTATAAAGGAATATGGAGGGTTTTAGGGGGGACCTACTAAGGAATATACCACAAATTAGGTCCAGGGCTCATACTGTTGATGGAGGAAATCTTGCACCACTTGAAGTCCTTAAAGTCCTAGGAATTACAGTAGTTTAGGGCCCCTAGGTGGTGCAAGATTTCATCCATCAACAGTATAACCCCAACCTCCAGCGCTCCGAGCTCCAGGCTCCGTTGAAGGAGGAGCCGAGAGCCGACAGCTTCGTCAAGTCTATGTTGGCCTTGCGGGGATATAGGTACGCATTGGGGCAATGTTAGGGTTCTATTGGGGTTATATGGGGATAATGGAAAAGAAAAAGGAAACCACTATAATGGGTTATAATATAGGGTTTAGGGTTTCGGGTCAGGATATTCATACTTTAGGGCTTTAGCAGGTGTGTGCGTGTGTGTTTCTTGCAGTTCCGTTTTTCGTCTGCAGCTGTAGCGTGTCAGTGTTCACGGTTTGAGTAGTCCTGCTGGGGCAAGCTGCTTTGCTTCAGCATGATCTTGAAGCTGGGATGCACTCAGGGCCACTGCAAAGCTTCACTTGTGCATGGCTTTTCTTTAAGGATTCCAGCCCAGAATAATCAAAAGAAATTTGCTCGCTGGAATCCCCGAGAATGGTTTGTTGCACTGGATGGCGTGATGATTTGAAACTGCTTAAGGTGCGTGATCCTGTTCAATTTTGCTCTATGGTCCCCGACGATGCTTTGTGATGTTCTGACATGAGACGACACGCGGTTATGGCTGTTAATGCGTTCCATCCTTCTGGCCTTCATTCTGCTGTATATTGCTGTGATACACTTCACATTCCTATGAAGGTTAGCTTCCTCAATCACAGCTCTTTGCGCAGCAACAAAATCAACAGAACACTGATGTTCATGCACCCCTCCAGGTGCGGTCGAGCACACGCGGCCGAAGGTGCAAAGACTTTGTAACTACATGGCATCCGAGTATGTGTTCTCGTATACCCTCGGAGCAAAACTCTTAACCCTAAGCGCGTAATCCTAAACCTTAAAGCATGGGCATGTACCCAGCTGGAGTTTGAAGGACAAAGCTCACACTGTGGCTGGACCCATGGCCCACTCTGAGAAACGCACGAGAGTGAAAACAATGAAGAGTGTCACCTGAAGAGCACATGGGTGTTTCTCCAAATTAGGGGTCAAAATAAGGATATCTAAAGGGGGTTGGCGTTTAGGGACATTATAGGGATATCATAGATGTAAACGGGCTGGCCCGCCAGCACATCGCTTAGCTCCTGCAGCTCCAACAGTCGCAGCAACCTCTCCTGCAATGGCCTGCCGCAGCATGTCCACATGCGACTGTAACTCAGCACTGGACGTACAAAGTGATGGAGAAATCGATCAACAGATTGCTGACCTAAGGCGTGGCAGCTTACGGCACTGTCTCCTTTGCTGAGAACAGTGGATCTTCAGGAAAAAGATTGTTATCGCAGCTTGGCTCTTCGAGGCCTCAAACTGTCCAGCTTTAGGTTAGAGGTACGTACCCCTGCAAGGCCTTCCTTGGCTTGACTCTATCATGCCCTTCCCACTGCAGCCGGGAGGCATAAAAAGCAACAGATGTGAAGTAAAACGACAGAGAATGAAGAACACCAATCCTGCCGAGGCTGCGAAGGACAGCCCTCAATTTGTGCGCGCTCCATCTCTCTCCCTCTCCCTCCCTCTCTCCGTCCCTCTCCCTCTGCGAGGCTCTCTGCAATGCAGAGGATGGCAGTAAGCCCCAGCAAATGGCTAGTGATAATTAAAAAAAATGGAAACTGCTATAGTATATAAGGGGGTTGTATAGGGACTATGGAAAATAAAGTGGAACCTACAATAATATATAATGGGGTTATGTAGGGATGATGGAAAAGGCTACCCCTCGGTCATATCTTTCTCCTTCCTCGAGAGAAGTCTCCAAGAATCTTCAGGTTGCGCCGTGCTAGGTGACGTGCTCTAGGTGCATTGAAATCCTTACAGCAACATCATGGCTGATACGCTTCTTATCATGTCCTCTTGTTGGCATCGGCTAGCATAGGGGCTCCTACACAACATATCCCCAAAATCATGGAGCCCGCAACAAAAACCCAAAAGGCTGTGGCCCCCCCCCCTGAAGGACCTGGATTTGCTATTTTGAGAAAACCCCTTTATAATCCCAGAACATCCCTGCACAGACCGTTACCGGAAGATACTGCATTGCCATGGAACCCCATGCAGGAGCTCAAATCTTGAGAAGTATCTCCCTTCGTAAGATTGGACATATCTCCTTCAAGGTGGGGTGATGCCATAAACTGGATCGTTAAGCAACTTGAATTAAGGTACTATAACGAGGAAACCCCATTATTCACCATGTGCCCATCTTGTGGTAACTTAACTTAGGTTCCTGACATCCTTTCATTACCCAGTTTCCAATCCATTTTCCATGTTCTGTTCCATTTGAATCTCGAGTATAGGGGGATGATATCCCTAACCCCAAAGCCCTAAACCCTATTATCCGCCGACCCCGAAGCGGGGGTCGGCGTCAGTGAAGACCCATTGCCCCTCCTTCACTTGACCTGTATCCCCGCCCCGGCCATGAAAA